AGAAGAGGCTGTCTGAGGGTCGTTCAGGAAAAAGAAGACACGAACAAAAACGTTCTCTCGCTTTCCACCCCCGCTTCTAAAGTTGCCGCCCTTGGTGCCTGCGTTCGCCTTTCACTCCACCCGCGGATGCCGTCCTCCCACCCCGGGGTCACAGTAGCGGCCTCTTACCGAAAGCACCCGCACCCAAGCTACCCAGCCGCATCCAGCGGGCGGGGTGGTGCGCGGAGGAATAGAGGTAGCACTACATCGAGTCGGACGAAGGCCACAGGACTCTTTCTAGGGGAGCTAACCTGCCTACACACACATAAAGCCCAGTCGTGCGGAGGCGCTTCCCCGCCTCCCGCGCGCCCTCGCGCCGTCAAGCACCTGCCGCTGGCCGCAGCTGCCCCTGGCTTTGAGCCCTTTCATCCTTTTCCCCCTGCTCCGTTTCTAATCCTTAATTCTTAAACCCTAAAACAAAGCGCAGGAGTTTCATGGGGCTGGGGCAGGCGCAAGGGCCCAATTCTCCCCAGGCCTGAGAGCCGCAGCCGGCAGTCGGCCCGGGGAAAGTCACCGGGCCGGGCTGTCCACGCAGGCCCAAGGTCGGAGTCATCTGCACCGTCAGCTTCAGGACCGACATTCGCTGAGCGGGATCCCCGAGTCAGACGCTGTTCTAAGCGCTTCGCTTGTATTAAATCATTTAATTCCCCCAAACAACCTTATGGGGCATCCATTATTATGATCCAACTATAGAAACAACAAACTGAAGTCCAGAAAGTTTATGTAACTGTTCAAGATCACAAAGCTAGTGTATTGAAGAGGGCGGGGGAAGATTCACAGAAAAAAAAATTAAATGGGCAAAAAAGCGTTTATAACCTTACTGTTTCAAATTGCAGGTTACATTTTCACAAAGTCGGAGCTACGAGCCTATAGGGGAAGGGGTGGGATACCAGGAGGAGGCCCTGCCTTCCTGGCGTGCACTTAGGGCCAGAGACCCAGACCCTGCCCGCTGTCCAGTTCCGGTCGTTGTGGTGCCAGCAACCAAAGTATTTTGCTTGCCCTGCGGTTCCCAAAGGGCGGCCCAGAGCCTGCGTCTTTTGCCTACGAGGAATGGGCGGGATGGAGGCGGCATCCGCGCCCAAGACAAACGCACGCTGGAGGCTGCTGGCGGGAGGTCATGTCCCGAGGCACCACTAGGCGCTCTCGCAGCTCCTCCTGCAGCGTGTGGGGCATTTTCCTTTCGGCGCTGTCACGCTTTCTCCAACGGGATCTCCGGGAGCGAGGAAAGTCCTGCAATGCAGACGGGCTGTATGCGACTCAAACTCTCAGGAGGGAGCCCAGGTCTTCCAAACGGGAGGCTGCCCACGCGCCTTGAGAACGGCGGTCAGGATGTGGGCCCTTCCTCCAGGCCCAGTTTGTTCTGGGGCTCAGGACAAACGACGCTGTATCTCGCGCTGGCCGTTTGCCTCCGAATGAGCCCCCTAACAGACCTCAACGGACCCCCACCACACACACACACCCAGGCCAACGGTGCATGCCCTGCACAAGCCAGCCAGGCCCCGGCCCACCCACCAGCTGCGCGGGGGCGCATCTCCACCCGGGTGCTCCGAAGGAGTCTCATCCCTCGAGGGCCCGTGGAATCCAAGAGAGGGGAAATATCGCCCCTAGAGTCCCCCCTTCGCTGTGGAGCCATGGGGCTCCACGCACAGCCTGAACACACCCTAGCCGGCGGAGGCGGGCTTAAAGTTGTAGGCCCATAGTAGACTCATCTTTCCTCTGGGAAGACAAACCAAACGTGCAATCTCATTGTGAGATTGCTCAGGGAAAGAAAGGCCCCAAGTAAGCACTAAACTTACATGGCGCCTTAAAACTACAAAGTGCCTTTGATGAACTGGGCCAAGAATAATGGTATATGTATGTGTTTATGTCAGAATGTTAATACCTTTTTGCAACAATTATCTTATTTCACCTTTACAGTCACTGTGGGAGGGGGCGTTATTATTATTTTTCACATTTTACAGAAATAGAAACTGAAGCTCAAAGACATTAAGTGGCTTACCCAAGGTCAACGGGAGCAGCAGCAAGTCCTCAAACTGTAAATGAGGGCCAGCCTGTGACCACCACACCGCCACCCATCTTCCAAGGGCTGCACTGAGGGTGAGGGAAGTGCACTGAATGGTAACATGTTTGGGGGAGGAGGAAAAATTTCAGACAAATCAACTATTTGCAAAGCGTTTATACATCGTCCTGGCTTGGACTGGAGATAAGCTCCAGCAGTCCCTCCCTTGGGTCCACTCCTCAAGACCCTCACCCCTCCAGCCTATTCCTAAGGCGCTTTCAAATGACAGGGAGAAATCTCTCCTTGCTTGACACTGTCTGGATCTACTATGTGGTCCACACGGATAAACACACAGACACGCATACTTAAGTACAGATATTTTCAAAGGACACGTGTGATCTTTCAATAAAACAAACTCTATGTACGATCTGCACGTATTTACGAAGGTAGTGTGGAGTTCACTCTATGACAATTGAACAAAACAAAATGCTCCTTTTTACAGCTCACTGTTAAGCAACACACCCAGTCTGGAGTGAGAAAGGAAAGCTAAGAAACTCAGGGTTTGAAGTCACTTGGCAAGGGGAGGAGAGACCTAGATGGAAACCTGTTTGTAAAATACATGTCTAGAACAATTTTCCAATCCTATTCCAAACTTCCCCAAAGGGAGGTGTGCTCGTCTACACCAAAATGTAATTTTATGTAGGAGAGCTAGAGTGGAGGGCATGGAAATGAGATATAAGGTGCAGTTTTAACCTTTTTTTTTTTTCCTGTGGAAAAAAAACATGTCTGGGATTTGAAATATATTTTAGCAAGAAATTATAAAGAGAAAGAAGGGACAGATGAGGCACGTATGGAAAATTCTTGATAATAGTTGAATCTAAGTGATGGGTATATGGTGGTTTATTGTACACCCTCTCCACGTCTGTGTATTATGAAGCTTTTCATAATAAAAATATGAAAAGATAAAAATGAAAACCCAACCTCTTCACTTAAAATTTTATTGCGTGTAAGTTATATATTTTGAAGGATTTTTTTAAAATGTCTTTTTATCTCAAAAGACAAAGCCCCGTTCATTCACAGACACCATGTCACAGGGAAGAGACCAGTGGGTGACATCTCTGTCTGGGGTCCACATCTGGTGCCCTCTGGCCATTTCTCATCCCCAACCTGCCCCTGCTCTGCCTATTACCTCTCCCTTGTATCCAGCCCGCCCCAAAAGTACTCTTAGTCCCCTTTTACCTTGCAAACGTTACCAGGGCAAGTTTAGGGAGCTGCAGGTTAGTTGGCTAAAATGAAGGACGATAATAAAAGCTAACGTTGTCCTTCTGTCACTGTTGATACCAAGAGACAAGAAAGTGGCCTTGGAGCCTCACAGAGGAGAAAGCTAAGGTCCAGAGAAGGTGAGCATCTTTCTCGGGCCACTTCACCCAGGAGCCGGAATCGGATCTCCACATGCTCAGTGGCTTTGCTTGCTTGTTTTCTCCGAGGAGTTTTCCAGGAACTCCAGATGAACTTTAAAATGAAGACCCAGTGTCCCTGCCCCTTGCTTCGAGGAACCAATTTCTTCAGCAAGACCTAAGCATGTTTGCAACCGAGAGGACGCATTTCAATAGATTGGTATCAAGTATATAACTAATTTTCTCTTATAAAATAATTCGGAGGCGGGGGTAAGAAAAGCAGACTGTGTCCTAAGGTGGCCAACCGGACTACGAGGTAAGCGACAATGTTCGAAGGAATCTGTCCGCCTAGCGACCACACCCCGGCCGGCAGGGCCCGGGTTGCAGTTGCCGAGCCTAGCGCAGGTGAAGGAGAGAGCACCAAGCGGGCCCGGACCTTCCGCACGCGCACGCGCACGCGCACGCGCCGGCTCGAAGCTGCCCCGACATCCGCCGGCCTCCATTCCCGAGCGCCGGGCGCCACCCAGCGGGCGGAATACTAACTCCGACTTATTCCCTCGCGAGCGCCCAGGCAGTCAAAATCCGAGGATCCTCCTAGGGAGGCAAGGTGACTCTCATTTACTTGGCGACTCCTAGAGACCAGGCCCGGCCTTCCCAGTTTGCCTCTCTCCCCACCAGTAACCAGGCCTTCTAAAGCTTGCCGGCCGGGCAAGATTCTCCTTTTCCCCTGGGCCCGAGGATGAAAAACACTCTTTCCTACAGTACAAAATGCCCACGGAGGAGCCTTTAGTGTTGACGGCCGACAAAGAGCAGGGCTGTGCGTTGGCTGTGCAAGCCGCTCGACTGCAGGCACAGGGAGAGTCAAGTGGAGGGTGGGGTGAGGGTGAGGGGCGTGTAAATCACTCAGAAGGATTTCTGGCCCAAATCCCTGTTTCCGAAAGGTTTCGGGATGGCTTTGACATTGATTATATAGCTGTTCTCTTTTCAAGTGCGCACCCCTCCCCGCCGCAGCCCGTCTGGTGTGTGAGGATTGTGTTTGAAAGAGAGGAAACATTCTTGAAGTGGTGGCTGATGGACTGTCTAAACCCTTCTGGGACATTTGCGAGGGGGTTTTTGAGGCAGCTCATCAATAAAGACCCCCCTGGAGAGACAAGGGAGGCAGCTGGAACACAGCCCCCGCCATGCAGGGCGAAGGCCTGGGGCCTGAAACCGAACCCGCGACCTGGGTCCCAATGGAAATGAGGATGAGAGGACGGTGAGGGGGCCCTGGGCAGGGGTGTCAGGCGCCTGCAAAGATTCCTCTTTGGCTGAACCCCTCGGCCCTCTGAGGCAGTTCCTCAAACACGGCAGAAAAGTTACCCAGCCACCAGATGGGTGCGGAAGCCGAAACTGGGGACCGAGGTGCCCGGCTACCTTCAGGCGGTCTACAAGCGTTGCTCGTCTAGGACGAAGTGTCTTGAATGCCCTTTGTCCCCATTAAGCTCCACTCTGGCCCCTCAGCCACGCTTGCTATAGATTTCTTTTCAAAGCCCCAACCCAAAACCTGTTCACCTCTCCCAAACTGGATGGGCTGGGTAGAGGCCCACCTCGGCGGGTCTGACTGGCTCGCAGCCCCGAAGGCCACGCCGTGGACAGGCGCAGCTTCTGGAGCTGCAAAGTCCTTCTTCCTCATGCAGCAGCCGCCATCAGAGATGCCCCCTCGGAGTCCTCTAGGCCCCAAACAGGACTCCTGCCGGTGCCTCGAAGAGGAGGCTGCCCTGGGCTCGGGAGTCCAGACTGGGAATCTCCAGCCCACGCTCCCTGGAAGGATTTGGAAACCTCATTGGCAAGGCTGGCCTGGAGAGGCATCGTTGGGTCTTGAGCGTTCCCAAAGCGCCGTAATCGGCCTGCTTTCTGTCCCATCACAAGCGTGACCTCCCTCCCCATGGTCCAGGCCTCGCGGGGCTCTTATCCTCCAAGACCCGGGCTCTCGCAGCCGTTCTGAGAAGGCGGCCCGCCGAGGTCCTGCAAAGGAGGTTTAGGCGGATCCCTGGAGCGGGGATCAACAGCTGGGCAGGGGAGGTGCAGGGGAAAATACGACTAGAGCTCAGGCGGCGAGAGCTCCCGCAAGACAGCTCCTCGGAGGAAGCCCCTGGGCGCCCCAAAGTCCCGCGTCGGGCTCTGGGCGCCTATCACGTTTTATTTATCCCCACAGAGGATGCTGGAGGACAAAAGAAATATTTGGACGTCAGAGTTGATTTATATTTTTGGAAGCGCTCTGTTTCCTTTTCTAAAGAGAAGCGAGCGCGCCCCATATCCTGAGCCCAGCGGGGAGGGCAGAGTGGCGTTTTGATGCGCAGGAAGTGGCTCTGCGGCCCCGAGGCGCGCGGCCCGGCGCTCTGCCGAGTCCGCCGCCCTCCGAGAGCTTTGTTTATTTGGGGGGCAGGAGGGAAGGAGACAAGCCCAACTCTAAGAAAAAACCCGACCCGGCGGGATGGGACCTCCAGGGCGCCTCCCAGCGCGCGCGCTTGACTCTCCTCCGCTCTCTGTTGGGGGCGCCTCAGAAAGCCGCGTCCCTTTGAGGCCCGAGCTCGGACCCCCAGGCGCGTTTCGCCGGGGCCTTCCGCTGCCCTGAGCGCACCTCGCCCCGGCTCTACCCGGGCCGACCCCTCCAGGTCCCGCGACGCCTCCGGAATGGGCCCGCCTCTCCTGCCAGCGCTGCCCGGCGTGTGGACGAGGCCCGGCGGTCTTCCTCCCTAGACTAAGGGGCCCCACGGCCTGGTGCCTTGAAGACCTGGCCTGGAGGCACAGCTGGGCCGAGCCGCCGCAGCCTCTTGGCTCTGCGCGCCGCACCCAGGTCCCACGGCTCCCCGGGGTTTCCGTCTCATCTCGAGCTTGCGTCCCACACCCTATAGCAGGCCATTCCCTCGCAGCAGCCCCAGTGCCTACGAAGTAAACGCGTTGCGGACACCACCGCCCGGACTTCTGTCCTCCTTTCTCCTGAGACTGGGCACCGGGGTACAGGCGTCTCTGCTTATGTTCCTTCGCCACCGTGAGCCCTTTCGTTCCGGCCCCATTTTCCCTCTTTCCCTCCGCCGTCTGAGCTGCCTGTTAGGCGGAGCGGCCGTCCCTGCTGTGGAAACCCTCTTTTGCAGCCCCGGCCTCCCACCCATAAACGCAGCAGACCGTAGGCGACGCCTAAGGCCGGTCCACCGCATCCCACGCAGTAGCCCGCGTGCGACCACCGCGTCTGCACCCAGTCAGTGCCTGCCGGCAGGTGAGCCGGCTCCAGGGAGCACCCCAAGGGTGCGGTCTGCCAACCCGGGACCTGGCTATCGTGCGAGTGCAGAGATAGGGAGAGATGCGGTCTTCGCATGGGGGATCTGGCAGAAGGAACCCTTCTGTCCTCCTTCCCCTGGCACCCACGGACCTCGCCAAGTGGGTGATCAGGTCTTGCCTACCCCAGGCCAAGAAATCTGGAGGCTGTCTCAGGAAGGTGGCTATAAAAAGAGCCCTACTTGGGACACAGGCATTTGGAGAGCGGAAGAATCTAACCAAATAAACATTTGGAATTGGGTGGCTAGTGTTCAAACCCGGAGGTCTGGGGGTTTCTGGACGGAGGAAAGAGAGCAGACGCCGGAACGCGTGTAAAATTTCGACTGGTAGCCCTCTTCACGCCGTTGCCCTCTCCAGCACCAGCCTGGGAGCGTCCTGATGTTGTTCCCGGCCGGATTTTCTGTCATAAGTTTCTTGAGAGGCCTCTGCGACGTGCAGGCCGGTCCGCCTCCATCATTTCCTCACACACACCGACATCCCTAGGATGCCGCCGTTCCGCAGAAAGGCCCAGCGGGAGAGCGAAAATCCCTTCTGCACGTTAACTTTGGGCAGTTTCAGACTGGATTGGGAAGAGGCTTTCCTCCGTCCGACCCAGGCCGAAAGAGGGAAAGAGGAGTACAGCTGAGCAAACTGCTCGGAAGGCGAGATCTTAGATGGCTGTCAACATTCTCCATTCGGATGCGTCTCTCCTGTTGGTAACTGGTTTAGTCTAAGCCTTTTAATGGAAAACCCACGAAGCAGAGGAAGCATGCTTAAGAACATAAAATTTAAACCGCAATAATAAAGAGATTTCCTAGAATAAAACGCAGATTACAGATCAAAATCGAAGAAACCCAAGCTTCCCGAAGTTTACATTCCCTTGCGCGGGAGCAGGGCGGGGCCTTCGGGTTTGGAGCTGGAGAGGAATCCGCAGCTAAGACCTAGACAAAGGGGGCGGTGGGGAGGGATGGAGAGCAACGAGCCTGGATAGGACCGTTCGCACCAGATACTGTGTATTTCTGGTTAACCAGGGAGCGTCTGGGCTAATATATAATCATTTAAGTGAACCATACCTTTCCTTCCCGTGAGAAAAAAAAAAAATCAAGATTTTTGTCGTTTATAAGGCAATGAAAGTCAATCGGGAAGACCTCACCCCCACGAGGAGTTACCTCCGTCGGAGGAAGCAAGGCTATGTTTCAAAGATAAATCCAAGGTTCCTTTTAAAGGCTAGGAACTTTCCTTTTAATGTCTGCTTAACAGAAATGAAGATAGTCTTGCCAGGGATTTTTTAAAAATGACATAATTTGTTATTATATTCATTCTTACCAAAGAGATTTGTATAGATTGGTGATTAAAACAAAACAAAATCCGGAGAGGGTTTGCTGCATGTGGCTGAAGGAGCACTGTGTTTGGTACCCCAGACACCCGCTCGGGCCAGCTCTGCCCCTTGCCTATATGTGACAAGCCATTCAGTCTTTCTGAGCCTTAGCTTCCTCACCTCTCAAAGGCGATGATGCTGTCTAGGCCACTTGGTGATGATAAGATGTCTGCAGAAAGGATTGTGCTCTGTGAAGTCTATAAACACATGTAGGACTTTATTATTTCTAGTCCTAGTGGTCTATGCCAGGGGAACCATTTCCATAGGCAGAATTGGGGTCCTCAAGAAAGAGTTTTGGAGAGGCATCTTTCCTGCTCAGAGAACTAAGAAGGCCACCAACCTCCACATCGTCCTGGCACGCCGGGGCTCCTGGGCAGTATTTAGACCCCCGGAGAGAGAAAAGGCTCCAACTCAGCAGACACTTTCCCCCGCTGGACCCCTAACTGTCCCCAATGCCTATTGACTTTCAGGACATGCATGGTAAAATGGATACTACTGTCACTTGGATGGGGGAGGAAGCCTTAAAAATTCTTGATATTTTAACCAGTTGAATTGGTAGAAGATAAAAATATGTAGAGTAGGGGTTTTTAATGAGTGTCAGCTTCAGAAGATCTGTGGGCCCCTAAGATTTCATGCAAAATGGGATTTTTTTTTTTTTCTGGAAGCAGGTTCCATAGCTTCCATCATATTCTCAAAAGGACCCATGATCCAGAAAGTTTGAAAACTACTGCATTTTAGGGTTAGTGCTTTTTATTCTTCAGTCTCTGGGTCCTAAAACCTTTCAGCGTGTACTCTGAGAGCAGGTACACCTCTGAGACGCAGTGTACATACAGCTCCCAGGCACAGAAGATCAGAGGAGATCCATTGCTGAGTACAGTGATATTGACTTGCTGAATTTCCTGACAACTCCATTATTCACCAACTCCACTTACAAATGAGATTGTCTTTCTTCTCCCTATGCTTCACAGATGGTACTATTTTCTTATTTAAAACACACACACATACTAGAAGGCCATAATGTTAGTGTAGCTCTTTTTAGGCACTGTATGTCCTCCTCATTCCAGTTTCTATTTTATTTAAATAATTACTTTCAGACTCTTTAAGCACTGATTTAGTGAATATTTTAGATTTAATTATACATTTATTATTTTTAAACTAGTCCATGTAAAATTACTGAAAAGGATAAGAGAAAAAAAAAATGAGAACAGCCATCCCCCCAAAACGCTCACTAGTCAGTCAGAAAGAAATTCTTAGAAAGTAGAAACAACTGCAAACTCCCTACCCCAACCCAACCAAAACATCCTACCCGGAAAAGAGCGTGTTGTTTCTTTTTTCTATTGGAAATGAGCGGTAAACTGAGTTCAGTTTGGCCGTGTTTTGTTAGCTGATTCTCGGCTACAATCAAGCCATTTTCGGGCACATTCCCATGTAGGTACCAGGGGTGCTCTGGAGGAAGCTGTCGACGCCTGTTCAGCTAATTTCGGTTTTCTTTGTCTAATTACTGTGGAGCTTAGGGAAAAGGAGCCGGTTCAGGGCAGTAAACTGACACTTGGTCTCTGTGTGTGGTATCCAGGCAGGGTTTGATGGAAAAAGCCTGCTTCCACTCAATTTCAGGTCACTGTCTGAGGCCAGCCCAGCCCCCAACCTCCCCCTGCCACCTCCCTTCTCCTCTCCTTTCACAGACCCGCCAACACACTCTGCCTGGTCTCTCAGGAGGTACAGACAACTAGTCCAGGCCTAAGAGTCTGTCCAGTTTTGCTCCGCCCAAGGCTCTTTGCTTTTCCCGTTCCACAGACTTCCGCATAAACTCCCCTTCTCTTGCCCGCCCCCCACAGTCCCAGGCTCCCCAGCACACACACCCTAGCACCTGGGTCCTTTGAGGGCAGACGCCAAGGTGTGCCACCCCTGCTGCCACTGGGTCTTGTTCAGCAGCACCTCCCCCTGGCCTCTCCCATCAGCCTCCAGCTCAAGCAGCTACCAGGCCTCCTGCTCCCGCCTCCTCCCACTACCCAGCCCCTATCCCTGGTCAGACTACATTTCCTTGCACGTGTAATCCAATAACTAACTGTCGGGTCTCATTGGAAATGATTTCTCCCGAGGGCACATCCTCCCGCCAAGCCTGACTCTTACTTAGAGAGGAATTAGCCACAACTGGAGTGGCGTGCTCTCTCGCAGAAAGGAGCTTCAAGATGGCACATATTTTGGTGGGCAACTCTGAGGCAAAGGATGTAAACCTTGTCACAGTTACACACTCCGTCAGGATTGAATATAATTACAGCAATCTCACTTATCTCCGAGTCTACCTTCTTTTTGCATTTTTACAAAACATTATATGGAAAACGAAAAGGCAGTGAAAGCAAATCCAAACATAACTTCCTAAAACTTGGGTTACGTTTCTGTAACCAAACCCCTCTGCTCCAAGTTCCGACAATACCCAGGAAAGCCCCGGGGGCCGCCACCCTGGGGCGCGGGGCGCCCCAGCGCTCGCCCTCTGCTAACTAACTGTCGCGGAGCCGGCAGGCTCTGCCAGAGAGAGAGAGAGGATTAGCACATTACCTTCGGGCGTCTGGCACCCCGGCGTGTGGCTGGGGGCTGCAATGCCTAAGTGAAGTTGACAAATGGTGTGAGTGCGGGCACTGGGAAAGGCAGCTAGGGAGGCTCCGAGCAGGCGGCGGCGGCGGCACCGGAGGCAGCACCAGGGGCTGAGGCCCGGGCCCTGGAGGAGGAAGAGAAGGAGGAGGGGCAGGAGGAGAAGGAGGAGGGGGCTGGGGTCCGCTCCGCGGCTGCCGCAGTTTTCTGGGGTGGGAAATTGGGCTGCTGTAAGGGGCAAAGAGAAAGATTTCATCTTGACAGATAAGGGTCGGGTTTGGCTGGGATGGGGGTCGCTCGCCTAGCAAAATGTGACTTAGCTTGTGACTTCTCCGCTTAAGAGAGCGTGGGGTGGGGGAAAGGGCTGGAGGCCAAGAGAAGAGTTAAAAAGCAAAGGAGATCTTAGAGCGCGAGGACGGAGATAAGGGGGGGCGCAGGCCGCCAGGTTGAGAGGGGGCGGGGCGGAGGGCGTCGCGGGCTGCGCAGGGACGAGGAGGGGGCAGGGCGGGCTGGCGGGCGGGCGGAGGGAGGGAGGCCGCGGGAGGGAGGAAGTCCGAGAGACAGAGCGAGGAGGGAGCCGGAGGGAGACGTCAGCTTGTCCCCGGGGTCCCGGCTTGCGGGCCGGCTGCTTCTGCTCTGCCGCCTGGGGAGGCCGTTGCGCCCGGAGGCCGGAGGCTCGGGGAGGGATGCGCCGGGTGGTGCCGCCGGCCCGCAGCCGCCCGGAACGCCCGCGGCGCTGAAGAGGAGCCGCCGAGGCGCTGGCCCAGAGGAGCAGCGGCTGCAGCG